CACCCTTCCTAGTCCCTCCCTGCCTCCAGCAGGGTGGGGTACTCCTCTGCCTTCCCCCTCTCTGGGTCTTGTTGCCCCTTCAAACCTCTGTCTCTAGGGGCCCCATGTCTCTCCTACCCCCTCTGCATGTCCCTCAGCAGTCCCTGTCTCTGCTCCTCTATCTGTCCAGAGTTCTCTTTCTGTCTCTAGGCTGCTCTTCTCTCTGTCACTGTGTCTCAGGCCTCAGTGTCCAGCTCTCTCTCTGACTCTTTCTGTCCTATCTCTTTGTTGCTATCTGTCTTGACTTGTTGCTGTCCAGTCTCTCCTGTCCCCCACCCACGGCACACTGAAACCCCTAGAGTAGAGCTACTCTGTCACTCTCTGCCCTCCCCTCAGCCCTGGACCATCACCAGCTCCTACAGAGATTCCTGCCCAGCCTGACGCACGCCTCCGACCCTGCACCCGATGCCTACCCTCTCTCTGGACAGCATCCTTGTCTAGTCCCTACATGAGGAACACCCCTCCCCTATTTCCCCAACAAAGTGCTTTAAGAATTTCACAGAAGGAAGCTGGGGAGCCCAGAATCCTGAGGTCTAGACAAGCTCTGACTTGAGTTGCTTACTCTCAGTCTTTCTGCATCTTAGAGGCAGAATTGCTCCTTAGTGGACTCCAGGTGTGGAAGGAAGCTGGGGTTACGCTTCAGGGATAAAACATGGGAAGGGCAGGGATGGAAGCATCTTCTCACCCCACCCCCACCTCTGCCCTAGCGCTTTGTGCTCAGGAGTGTGTCCATGGTCGCTGCGTGGCTCCCAACCAGTGCCAATGTGCGCAAGACTGGCGGGGCGACGACTGCTCCAGTGGTGAGTGGCTGGTGACTGCAGGGCGTAGCCTCTTGTGCCTTCAGGGATGCAGGACCCTTGGGCACACTCTTCCTACCAGGGCACGCGTGTTTAGGACCCCAGGGCAACTACCCATCAGAGCCCCACTGCAGCTGCCTATTCCAGAGATGTGGCACAGGGGATGGGCCAGAGCCAGAGCATGGGGGTGCATGTCAGGGCTGGGAGACAGAGACAAGGACTAGCTGGAGGCTGGGGAAGGGTAAGACCCCTGGTGACCCTCTTCTCCCCTCCTCATCCCGCAGACTGTGCCCCAGGAGTGTGGGGGCAACAGTGTGACAGGCCCTGTAACTGCGGCAACAGCAGCTCCTGTGACCCCAAGAGTGGGGCATGCTCCTGTCCCTCTGGCCTGCAGCCCCCGCACTGCCTTCAGCCTTGCTCCCCTGGCCGCTATGGCCCTGCCTGCCAGTTCAGCTGCCAGTGCCATGGGGCACCCTGTGACCCTCAGACTGGAGCCTGCCTCTGCCCCCCAGACCGAACTGGGCCCAGGTACGTAACGGGAGGAACACACACTATGGGGGTTGCAGACACAAGATGTACAGGCAAGCATGGGCATACAGGAGCTCAAATGTGGGGTTGGAGTCAGGAGGCCAAGATCTTGGTCCCAGCTTTGCTTTCACTGGTTGAGCAAGCTCAAGCAAATCCTCAGCTTGTATGTTGTCTGTGAAATGCGAGCAGTGTTGTCCACCTAGAAGGGTTGCCATGAAGATAACATGAGCTAGCACACATGTGAAAGCATGTCACAAAGTGGGGCTGAGACAGGGACACAGAGAACCCTGTTGTACGGCTAGGTGCAGGGAGAGCTTGGGAGTCACAGGAGGGAGAATGTTCATCTAGTTGGAGATCAAGGAACTTCATGGAGGGGCTCCGGAGGTGAGCCGTTATGATAGAAAACCGCGGCAGACAGAGGTGTTCCCCCAGAGGGACCAGCAAAGGCCCAAGTGGAGCAGAGGGCATGTGAAGAGGAGATAACACCACCCAGGGCTCTTCAGTTTATCCTGATGGGGCTGGGTGTCACTGCCGTTTCGATCCTGCAGTATCCAACAGGGAAGACTAGAAGGGCAGGGTGACTCACTGAGCCCTAGGGTCAGGCCTTCTTACTGGGGAGGGTCTATGTGTGGTTGGCCAGCCCTTGGAGGCAAAGGGGAGGCAGGTACTCCTTGTTTACACACAGACCTCCTCCCTCTGCCCAACAGCTGTGAGGTGTCCTGTTCACAGGGCACTGTTGGCTTCTCCTGTCCCAGTACCCCTCCTTGCCACAATGAGGGTGTTTTCCAGAACTCCCAAGGCTCCTGCAGCTGCCCACCAGGCTGGATGGTATGAGGGTGGGGCCTGTGGGTATGAATTCTGTGGCTGGTTCTCTACAGGGATGGGAGCAGGATGTGTATGAGGTGGGTGGGCTCTGTGGCCCCTGGAGAGGTTTCAGGATTTGGGGTAGAGGGGTATTGAGGGCTCCTGTGGTCATGGGGAGGGGGCTGGGCACCTGGGGCTCTGTCGACCTCTCACCCCCCACAGGGCACCATCTGCTCCCTGCCCTGCCCAGAGGGCTTCCATGGACCCAACTGCTCCCAGGAATGTCGCTGTCACAACGGAGGCCTCTGCGACCGATTCACTGGGCAGTGCCGCTGCGCTCCGGGCTACACCGGGGATCGGTGAGT